ATGACCACTAGAAACAAAAATATGATTAAAAGACTTGTGAAAAGAGGCTTCCCTTGGAGAATACATCGAATTGGGACACATTTTGAAGAGTTACCAAGGCACCTCTTGGAAATTTATAAAAGTAAGAAGTTAAGTCTTTTAGAAATGTGCTTGAAAAGAGAGTCTTAAGAAGTTCTTGAAGAAGTTTGTAGAGGAACGTTAGGAGAGATTTTCAGGCACCACAAATTTATTTTATCTTTTTTATTTTTAGTTTTATTGTGAGAGTTAAGAGTGTTGTAAAAGAGAAGAGATTCAAAGGAACTTCAAGAGTTTGGTGGATGATTTAAGATAAGTTTTTATCTTTGTTTTTGAACTAAGTTTGGTCTTAGTCAAGACTTCTTGTTGGTTTGACAATGATTTCTACTTTAAACTAAGTGTGGTTTTGTGGTTTTGTTTTCTCCATGGATTCTGAGTAGTTTTCTTTATCTTTCTTCTTAAAATGATAAGTAATTAAAGTGTTGGATGGAAGTTGTGGAGAGTATTAATACTTAATGTTGGAAGAAGTTGTGATGATTTAATTCCATGCAATTCATTTACTTCTTCATCTGACGTATCTAGATGTTAAAATTTTTTTTGAGAACATTTAAGAACTGGGCTGGTATTGTCTCAGTCAACAATTAGAAAGAATCATATGAGGTTATATGAATGAGAATGTAATTCATGTGATTAAGTGCAAATAAATAGGGAAATAATCTTTGAAGGGTGTAGAGTCAGAGGACTTTAAAGAAAGAGGTTAAAGCCTCCAACTTGGTTTATTGTTTTAGGTTCTGATATGAGATGTTAGCCCCCAGGTAGAGAGAACCGAGGGAACTCTAGAGTGAGAGCTAGTATCTTCCCTGCCTAGCTGGTCTTCAGAACTATTCATTTGAATTAGCCAATGTTCTTTATAGCATTTCTAGTAAGGGTAAAGAATAATATTGCTCTTATTTGGCACAACAAAATTTGCATTCTTTCACAACAAAAATCCTATACTTATTACTGACTCGTGATAAGGAGAAATATATTTTCATGTTAAGTGCTTTTCTTTTACAAAAACTCAAGTTATCTTTAGAAGTTGTTATTATTTTTTCAAAATATCAAAAATACCAAAAATATTTGAATTTTAATTACTATAAAAATATCAATAGTTTAAGTAATTGTCTTTTTGAAATTGAAAGTTTGTTGTTTAATAGTGCATATTGTCAATTTCCCTGTGGGTTCAATATTCAGGTCTTAATAAAAAAGTCATATTTTACCTAATAACGATATGTATACTTGCATAGTAGCCCAATATCGATAAATTAAAAAGTTAAATTCTTATTTTCTCCAGGATCAAGTTTTTGGTGTTGTTGCAAAGTAAGGAAATATAAGTGAAAATTATAATCAAAGACATTGTTATACTGTTGCATATAAACAGTCGAGGGATTAAGTTCTTGGCGTTGTTACCGTGGAAAATTGATTGAATTCAAATTTATATTTTAGAATGTCTTATTTAAACTGTAAGAGTTTTCTATCCTGATAAACAATTGTAGATGTTTTTTATAGACATTTTTGGTAGATATAATTTCTAAACTGTTTTTCTTCCTACTTATATCTTTTGTACTAAATGATATACATGTTATTAATCAAGTTTAGGGATATGAAAAAAAATAAATATTTAAAGTGACTATACTTCCTTTTTAGTTTAATATTATTGCAAGAATGTTTTAAGATAGATTTATTTTTTCCTGCAGTCATTCTATCCTGGCTATGAATGTATATGAATTTGATAGAATATTGTAGTAGTAAGTAGATTCAGTAGTAAGTAGATTCAACTTATTAAGTAGATTCAACTTATTCTTTTTCTTCCTACTACATTTTATGGAATTAATTGTAAAATATTTTAAAATTCAAGTTTGAGGGGAAAGAAAAATTTCTTTTAAAAGAAAGAAACAAAATTTTATTTGTCCTCAATTAGATATATTTTCAAAATTTAATTTAACATGACCTTTGGTATTAGAGGCTAACTTTAGATAACTATATTTGTGTTTCTAAATATATAGTAGACTTAAGTAAAAGTTTTCAATAATGAAAGTTAATTCTAGAGTTAAGATGTTTGTTACGAAAGAATAAGACTATGCTTATTCTATTTAAAGTAAAGGAAATTTTATTTTTGAAGTTTTTTGAAGTATTAATATTAAGAATCTTAGAGTTTCATGTACGAAGAAAAGAATCTGACTTTATGAAAAATCTTCAAAGCTAATATGAATTTATAAAATGAAAGATTGTGAAAAGTTTTTAACTTCATGAAGAGGATAGTGCAGTTCAAAATCATTAAAGGCTATCCAGATATAGTAATCCTCACATGAAAAAGAAAAAAAAAGGATTAAAAATGATCCTCAAAGAAAAGAAAAAGAAAAGCTAAAATCAAAAAAAAAGAAAAAGAAAAAGAAAAGAAAAGAAAATTATGTGAGGAGAAGCTTGAGGAGATGCCTAATAAAAAAAATGGCTTCACTTGAATCAACTTGAGGAAGAAGGCTTTATTACATTTTCTAAACTTATCTTTGAGTATTAGTATCCTTAGTAATAAAGATCTCATGAAATTACTTTTTATATGAGTATTCTAACTAACTTTAAGATGAAAAATTGCAATTCTTCTTGAAATGAATAGAGAATGAGAAATCTTAGACTTGGCTACTTAGACTTGGCTTAGACTTGGCTACTAAGTATTCTTACACTTTTAATTTTGACTTAAGTTGTTAAAAAATTTTCTTAAGTTGTACTATTATATTTAGTAGACCAAATTATAGAAATTGAGAAGTTAAACTCTCTACCATTAGTCATAACTTTTATGTAGTAAATCTATTAATTGAGGACAAGTAACAGTTAAGTTTGGGGCATTTTGATACGCCAAATAAATGACTACTTTTTCATATGTATTTTTTGCTCAATTTTTATGATTTTTAATAATATTACACTTTAAAGGAAGGTGTTTTGCATATTTTTTATTTCAGGGATAAGAAATAGAGTTTTGGAGAAAAAAAAGCAAAAAACAGTGTAATTTGGAGTGAAAACAAGCAAGAAAGAAAATTTTGTCCTGACACATTTCAATATATCATTCTATGCTTAATGTCATTTACACTTCTCACAGATTTCTGAATGAAGTTACACTTTAAATAAAGTTTGGTTTCATGACTATCTTATAGGACTATCTGTTAGGAATGAAACACAACTGAAATGGGGCGAAACGGAGCTAAAATGGAGCCAAACAGAGCGAAACAGTGGAGCTGCTGCTGACCGGCGCCAATGGCACCCAAGTCCAGAGAACTGATGAAAAGTGGTGTCGACGACACCCAGACTGACACTGGAAGTGCCTGGGACGGTTACGGACCAATTTTTGGCAGGTTATGATGTTCTAGAAGGCTCCTAAGTGATTCAAACACCCCATGAAGTGATTCAATGCATCTAGACACTTGGAGAAGGCTCTTGAATGAGGAGTCATGTCTTTTGGATGAATATATATGTCTCTTAGGAAAAAGGAGGGAATTTGTGTCTCTTTAAAAAAGAGGGCTTAGTGCCTCTCATGTGCATGTGTGGGGGTTTGTGTGTGTGTGCGTGTGCGTGTGTGCGAGTGCTTGTGAGTGTGTTGTAGAGTAAATTATTATGTGTGGAGAGGATTTTCTTGAAGAATTGTAAAAGGAGAAGGAAAATGTGAGGTTTCTTCTTCATTACACTTCTAAGAGAGAATTTAGTGTTGATTGTCGTCAGCTCAACATTCCTAGTCTTTATTTCAGTCATTATTTCAGGTGACCCAACATTACAGTCTCTTTAAAAATTGGTCTTTGACAATTAAAATATGGTTTCAATCAGTGCCCTTTCACTTTAAATATCCTTACAGTCATGGGATCTTCAATATTAATAGCTCCATAGGGATAGACTTTAAAAATTTTGAATGGTCCTTTCCACCTAGACTTTAGTTTTCCAGAATATAATTTCAGGCTTGTATTGGATAATAAAACTTCCTGTCCAGGCTCAAATTGTTTTTTCATTATCTTTTGATCATGCCATTCTTTCATTCTTTTCTTATAAATCCATGCATTTTCGTAAGATTTATTCATAATTTCTTCAAGCTCTCTTTTCTTATAAATCCATGCATTTTCGTAAGATTTAATCATAATTTCTTCAAGCTCTTTCAAGCTTATTCAATTACAATAATCTTTTTCTCATCAGCTTCTTTCAAATTGAAATTGAATTCTTTTATCACCCAATAAGCTTTATGTTCCAATTCTATTGGTAAGTGACAAGTCCTCCCAAAAATTAATATATATGGAGACATTCCTATAGGTGTCTTATAAGCTGTCCTATATGCTCATAATGCAGTATCTAATCTAGCAGACTAATCATTTTTATTAGGATTCACACCTTTCCCAATATTCTTTTAATTTCACAATTAGATTCTCTTACCAAATCACTAGTCTGGGGATGATAAGTAGTTGTAATTTTATGCATTATATTATATTTTTCCACCAATCTTGTGACTATTACATTCATAAAATGAGATCCTCCATTGGTAATGATTACTCTTGACATTTAATATCTTGTAAAAATATTTTTAATTTAAAATTTAAAACAATCCGAGCATCACATCAAGGTAAAGTGATTGCTTCAATCAATTTTAAAACATAATCCACTGCAATCAATATATATATATA